AATAAAAAAATTAAACATTTAGTGTCGCGGCACACGGGCCACCGACCACAACCACAAAACGGCCCCCACCGGCATATTTCTTGTAGTTTTCATACATTTTATATGGACTCGCCACACACGGTACGCCGGCGGCCGCCACACGCTACAAATCGTCGTTGCTCGCTTCAATACAAAACGATGCCACACGTCACTCGCGCGATTCACCACCCCTCTCTCCCTTACCTTAGTCGGCCGCTGTCGCGCGCTTCAGCCGCTTTAGTAGCCGCTTCTAGCTTCTCGTAGCGGCGTTTGTGGCTGTGGCGTGTGGCCCGTGTGCGGCGATACTTACTATTACCTTCATTAAGAAGTAAATTATTAGCATTAAACCAGTGAACTACTTTAGATTTCTTCCGTGCTTCGAAAGGCACGTTAAGCCGTTGCATCTACAGTTGTTAGCACCCGCTAATCCGCACTGCGCCCACGTGGTGGGTCATAGCGCAAAATCCCTATTCCATCCATAGGGAAGACCTGTGCCTGCAGTGGAGCAGTGGGGACATTAATATAATATATTGTTTTAAACTTTCATGGTCACTAACATTATAGCTATTAACGGGATTGCTACCATGTACCTTGTTTTTATGAGTCTCCGATATTTCGGCACTGTTGCAAGTGCCATGATCACGGAGTAACTGAAGTAATTGCGGGTACATGTTATTGGCAGACATATCGGTCTACCCTCTGATGTCGTCTTTTACTGCGCTCGATACCCCTACCACTGGTCCCATTCTCACTATTCACTCGGACCTGTTCCCGACACACAATACTCACAGTATCAGATAAATATAATATAAGTAATATTAGTGGGGACTGAATTCTCGGTGCGCGAGACCGACCAGTATTTTTTCGAAGATGACCTTTTACATAATTTCATCTGGTTTGTGAAGTAACGATCTATTTAAGTCGACGTTAGCAGCATTACAATCCCTTGCTTTGTATGTAAAAAACAAGGGGCTTAAACAAGGGCCTACATAAAAATTACCGTAATTTTTTACTAACTTACTGCTCATCAGTACTCTGCACGAACCACTATCGAATTCGAATAGTTTGCGAGTGCTAAAATGTCAATGTAAAAGGACAATGTTAAAATTGGCCTAAGAACCAACACCAATTTGGCTTTTATGAGAATTCTTAGTATATTTTTTGCGATAATTATCAGTATTTAGATTGTGACGGACACTTCCAGTTAAGTAAGCTAAATTAAAAAGTAAAAAAATAATCTGAGACAATAAATACCATTTTATGTGTATAATCTATGGCAGCGCTGCAAACAAAACACTTTTTCTTCCTAATGCCGGCACTTCACTTGGCTATTCGTATTTGTTATTTTAATGCATGACATCAGTCTGTCCTTTTCATTCCTTATTACGCATGACAAGGACAAACTGTTGTTAAGTGAAGGGCCGGCATAAAACTCGTTGGTCTGTGGTTGTGGTGCATGCAGTTTGCATTCGTAGTAATCTGTGGCATTCGTGCATTCCAAAGAGTAGTTTATTATACCGGAAAGTGCATTCTCGTTTCGGATTACCTGTTGTGTGTGTTTATTTGCGATTGTTTTTCCTTTAATTTAACTATTTCGGCTATCTAATATGCCATCGATGTTACCAAAGAGCAGAGCCCTTATTACCAAGTACTAATGAACCTGTGCCACAACATCCTGAGAGGATCATACTGCCAAATTATTCAAGAACACCTGATACACATTCACGCTGCATATTTTCACAATATTCGTGTGATATACAAATAAATACAATAAACAATATGATACAAATTTTCCTAATAGTTATTCTTTAAAATAGAAAATGAATTAGTTGTAATATTAATTCACTTCAAACTGAGTTCATACTAAATTCATAGGTTGACCTATGTTTCATTGAATATTAAACATAACCTCAAAAAAAAAATTGTTTTCCTAATAATTGAAGTTCTCAGAAGTGTCCGTCAATAATCTTTGTTTTTACAGTCATTGACTTACGATTTTGAACTTGGAAAATAATATTTCATGATTGTTGGTTCTTAGGCTAACTATGTATGGACGCTGAACAATGTCCTTTTGTATGGAAGCTTGAACAACAGCGCCACAAAATAAGTAATGAGAACTAAAAGTACACGTTTGATAATGACGTTTCGTACACGTAAACGTTACGAATTCGATATCGGTTCGTGCTAAGGGTACCGGGGTGTTTTACTCAGTTGTACTCTAAATTGTTATTTTCCAACACATTTGCCCAAAAAATGCATTAACGCAGGTTGTATACATTGTTCGAAAGTTCAAAATTACCGGCCATACAACGCGGTACAATGCGGTAAAATGTTTTACCGCACGCTCGTATACACGGCACCGTGCATATCCTTTACGGTTTTTTTGTTATTTCGATCGAACCTCCTTGGCAGTGCTTTTAATCTATTCTTTTCTCGGTCTCACTCGATTACTAAATAAAAAACAGGAGATGAAATACACGTCATTCTCTTATTAGAAAATGTTGGCTTCATTCATCATCATCATTAGCCTATTAATGTCCCCACTGCTGGGGCACAGGCCTTCCCTATGGATGGAATAGGGAGATTGGGCCATGACCCACCACGCGGGCCCAGTGCGGAATGGTGGGTGCTAACGACTGCAGATGCAGTCGGGACCAACGGCTTAACGTGCCTTCCGAAGCACGGAGGAGCTCGAGATAGGAAATTTTTGGTCACCCATCCAATAACTGACCACCGCGAAAGTTGCTTAACTTCAACGATCGCAGCCGAACGCGCTAACCACTTGCGCCATCGAGTACCTCATTGGCTTGACTTCATTACTTTACTTTAATTTTACAGGGGTCTAGGCTCCGAATATGATTTTGTCCCATTCGGTGTCGCGACCCTTGGTACGTGGGGTCCTAGCGCTGTAAGGCTTTTTAAGGAAATAACAAAAAGGTTGGTCGACGTCACAGGAGACCGAAGAGCTGGCAGCTACCTCGGACAAAGGATTAGTCTAGCTTTTCAAAGGGGGAACGCTGCCAGTATCTTTGGAACCTTGCTTAAAGGGACTCCTTTTAACAATGTATTTTAGTTATTTTAAATTTTAAGGTTTTTAGTTATAAATATCTTACTATTTGTTCTTTAGTTAAATTATTAAATAATAATAATAAAATAAATATTTCCAACACTCACACCAATTAGCCTAGCCCCAAAGTAAGCACTGTAAGGCTTGTGATATGGGATACTAGGGTAACGGACGGAATACATATACAGTACATATATAAGTATATTTATATAGAAATAGATATTAAACATCCATGACTGGAGTACAAATGCTCGTATTCATCACACAAACATCTGCCCCCACCGGGATTCGAACCCGGGACCTCTCGAGTAGGTGACACCATGAAACCCGGCGTGCAAACCACTCGACCAAGGAGGTCGTCAAGTCGATTTGCTGATCTAGTAATGATGCTCATTGTAGAGATTTCGATTATTCCAATTTTTGCCACATTCATTAAGATCTTAGTCGCACTGTAGTTAGACAGACTTTAATTAGGTATGTACACTGTTTTCTCGCAAATGTGTTGAAAAACTACTACGTTGTATGACATTCGTGCGGAATTGGTATTTACAAAAGTCTTACAATCGTCTACTTGTTAAGTAATGTTACGTGTCGGGATGGGGTTCGAAATTATATGCCAGTTCACGCTTGACAGTTCTTTATTCACCACACAGTCCACACAATTAACACACAATGTTAATTACAAAACACTCACTAAACACTGTATTTCACTATAGAAGCCTCTAAACTTGATTGCCTTTGGATTCGCTCCGAAATCGCTGTTGAAACTCAACTGTCTCTGCGCGGCGCCAATCGCGCTTATATACGCCGATCGACGCATTCTAGAAAGTACATGTTAAATTGAGAGTTACCTGGCATCCGCGAGTACATAGTACCTACTTATACCTACGCAGGTACCGCGCATAACTTGTAAACAAGTGCAGATGTCGTTGCACTTTTTCCCTTAAGCCGCACTGCATAAGGCTCATTTTAGAATGAGCCGCATTACTCGACCTCTATCGCGACCCGCGGTGCTCTGGCACATTCGATCTCTAGCACTTTCGCGGTTCCGTTTCGAGAGCGTTTGTGACAAACTTATCGCATAATGTCAAAAATAACTATTTCTTTTCATTTTGTGTGTTTGGTTTTGTGGGTCGAGATTTTGTTTAACTTATTGTATTGTACTTTATGCAATCTGAGGTCTGTTTAGAAATAATAAAAAAAAAACCATCAGTTTTGTAGGGACACAACATTAGAAAAAAGTTTTCTCTAAGATGAAACCATTTACTTAGTAGTATTGTGACACATACGGAAAATCCATTAAATATTCTTAGCCTCCTTTATTTTATGTACACATTAATAAAATCCAAGTAATTAGAAACCGTGGAAGGGGGTTAAATTGATTGAAATTTGACAAACAAAGTTGCTGTCATTTTTAAGATAATTGATATTTTAACTTCAAAAAAATACATATTTATCGGTATTTTGTGTAGATTGAATACCTCAAAATTTAAAAACATTGACTCACTGGTTTAAAAGAAAGAAAATAAAAACCATGCTATCAACTTAATACATGAAATGGGGCTACTTCGGTAGCTGATATTTTTAGTATCTAAATCCAATGTAACGCCATAATGGAGAAGAACACAAAAAAAATTTGGGCCACGCACCACAAAGTCATGGAGTATTATTGATTTTTGGGGAGAATTTGATAATGGGGGGGAATTTGATAACAAATAAAACGAACTTAATGATCAAATAATGCAGCAGCCTTTAATTAGACTTAAAAAAAATATTACTTTTAAATCACTAATAAAACAAAATTGAATAACAACATGAGATATACTTCTTTATATCAATAGGAATCAAATTAATCATCACAGATCTTGTCTTAATCATATTTGAGATCAAATTATTTAAACAAATTGACTGAAACTTATAATTCTACAACATTAATATCTGAGGGAAAAACATAAACACTTCGTTCTAATTCAGGCTGTGGAAGATACATAATTACATCTGTTTCTTCAATTATTGATATATCATCCTCAACAACGCGAAATTTCTTTTTATCTTTTTTAACGGATTTCAAACCTTTGACGACGATTTTATTCTCACTAACGTCTTCTATCATACAAACATACTTGTATGTCTTTTTTCCCTTTGTAGACTGAAATTTTGCAAGAATAAAATTCCCAACTTCTGGACCTTCACATTGATCGGCGTCACTTTCGGAGTCATATGCATTCTCATTTGATGGCCCCGCTTTTTCGACATCCAAATGTATTGATTGGACTTCTTCGTCCTTGTCGTCATCTATAGTCTCTTGTTCGGCTCTGTCCTCAACTTCATCTTGTTCTGATTCTTCAGAATCAATTGTAGCCACGCTTTTACCAGGTTGAACGTGTAATCTAGTCTTTTTTTTCTTTGCTGGCACAGCTTCACTACCATACCGTTGGTCTTTTAAATAAGACACCAAAACATCTCTGACTGGAGCATCCACTTCAATCTCATCACGTGGCAACTTGTTTAACACTCTATCTTTGTTCCATGGATAAATTGCGGTAGCTTCGAAGCTGCTGATCAAATTGCGTGATATTGCTGAACTGTTGCTGGAAAGTGAATCGTTGTCTTTCTTGTTAGCAACTTGATCCATTTCAATTAAACCCTCTTTCAAAAAACTTGGAAAAGCATCTTTTGCAACAGTGCTCATTTTTGGGTTCCTTGATTTCCAATTTTCGAGCATCTTCCTCCACGCTGTTTTCATCAGTCGAAAGAACCCAACATCTAACGCCTGGCACAGATGCGTAGAGTTCGGGACAAGGCATATAAATTTGATGTTGTTTTCGTGGCAGGTTTTCAAAACATCCTCATCGAGATGAGCAGACAGGTTATCGCCGATTATTACTTTAGAGCCTTCCAATCTATTTGCATGTGGTAAAAATGCTGACAAAAACCAGTCACGAAAGGTCGGACCATCGACCCATCCACTTTGAGTACGATTATAGCGCGAACCGCGGCTGCAGCAAGGTTCTGAACAACATGGTTTGCCCACTATGCCACGCTCTTTCCAGGTGTCATATAAATGTGTGCTCCTGTATATCACGTATGGAGGTAACAAAACACCATCGGAGCTCCCGCAAATGATTATACTAGTACAACTTTAGAATTTTTAAAAAAGGCCGTGAAGTATCACGGCCCGTCTATAAATGCAGCGTTTTCTTACCGGGGTCATCTGATAAATTAGACTCATCGTAATTAAAGATGTTGGAAGGTGGTATACCCTCAACTTCGGTCTTTAAATGTTCAAAATACTCGTTTACCGAATCAGGTCCAACTTTTGCCCTTGCTTTTTTATATTTGAAGCAACTCTTTGGCTGAAATCATCTTTATGTCTCTTCAAAACGCTGAGAGCCCAATCGTGTCCTGGCAAATTATTAGAAAATTTTGTAATATTTTTGCCTTGTTTATCCAAATACGCTTTAGCAATCATGTGTAAGTCTAACGCCGTCAATGGAAAACCCCAGTCCGCACATGTCGCTGCTGCTCTTAGCAGGGCTTTTTCTTCAGCGTGGGTAAATACTGTTTGACCACCAACAGTTCTTGTGTGTACCGGTTATACAGTGTGCCAAAACTATTTTATATTGTATTGAAGCGGCGTGAATAGACAAATCTCCATCTGTGACTTTTTGAAGAGCTTCTTCAAGGTCACCTGAAGTATAATTTTTGTGAGCTCGCGTGCCGGGTGTCTTTTTGTAAGTCCGCACCATCTTGACATTTCATTCTGTGAACTATGTGGGGCGACTGCGATAACCAAGCAATTTACATTCATTATACTTTTCACTGCTGCAAGGGGCTACTTTGATAACTATCAATGTCGACCCACCAAATTTATCAAAGTAACCCCGGGATTAAAATATGTTCCAACCTCAAAATGGCGGATAGTAGGACAAAGGTCAATTTATATTTATGTACCCATTGATACTAGAATTAAGATATATGAGCATCTCCCTGTTGTTCAGGGTTAGGTCTGCATAATAGAAGTTTTCAGAGTCATGTATTCTTACCTTCAGAAAGGGTAATAATAAAATCCTTTTTTCTGCACTGAGGAGCGACGCACACGCACTTTCACCACGTGACAAGATGGCGGGATTGTCAACGTTACCAACACAAAAAAAAATTTGGGTGCGTTCCGTTTTAGTAAAGATATTACATAAAATCCAAATATTTTTTGTTATCATCAATTTCGCCCCGCCATTTGAAAGTCGCCCCATTCCACGGTACCAAATCTTTTCAAATCCCTGAACCAATTCTTAAAATAAAATAGCTACGGTTGTATGGCTTGAAAAATTAAAGGATGAATATTATTTTTGGGATGCATGTCACAACATAATCAATCACCGAAGGTCAGTGACCTGACCGGCCTTTTTTCAAATGTCACATACATGCACAAGGTCAATATTAAAACACCAAAAATAAAAGCCAATCAGAGGCCATCGAAAAATATCGATAAAGTATCCTTATATCAATGGGTTACCAAAATAGAGTGCGTTCATTGACCTTATTTGAATGCAGTACCCTTAGCACGAACCATTATCGAATTCGAATAGTTTGCGTGTCCGAAATGTCATTGTCAAATGTGTACTGTTTTAGTTCTGGTTACGACGTCCTTTGTTGCGCTGCTGTTCAAGTTTCCATACAAAATTGACAATGACATTTCTCACTCGCAAACTATTCGAATTCGAGATTGGTTCGAGTTAGTGATACCAAAGTGTAAAACAGAAACGCTTTCCGCGTCTACCTGTATTATTTGATTCAAATATCAAATCTCGTAGATAATTATCAACAGAATGCTTATAGTAACAATTTTTAATACAAGCCCGTTAGCAACGTTTGTAAAGCAAAGCAAAATTTATTCACGTGAAGAATAGTGGAGTCAAGTTGCAAAGGTGTTGCTACTGCAACCCAATCGAGCGGAAAATTCTTCACACTGCTCAATGCTACTTTGTAATGCTCAATGTTACGACATCATAACACCCTTATACAGGGTGTTACAAAAAAAAATAAAGCTTGAAGGGCGTTAAATACATCATATGAAGAGTCTTTTCTAATTTTCTTAAAATATTTGCATTAAGTTTTAACTTTTTATAAACACAGTTATTTTTAATGATCTTAGAACTAGTGACGTATCTTAAAATGATCGATATTTTTATTAATCATTAAAAATAACTGTTTTTATAAAAAGTTAAAACTTCATGCAAATATTTCAGAGATTTAGAGAAGACTCCTTATATGATTTACTTCAACGCCCTTCAAGCTTTATTTGTATTTTTGTAACACCTTGTATATTCCCATTCTAGCGTGGCGTCACTAAGTGTCGCCGGGCCACCGACCACAACCACAAAACGCCGCCACCGGCATATTTCTTGTAGTTTTCATATATTTTATATGGACTTGCCACACACGGTACGCCGGCGGCCGCCTCACGCTACAAATCGTCGTTGCTCGCTTCTTGTGGCCCGCAGCGGCCATTTAATGCGCCGATACAAAACGCCGCCACACGTCACTCGCGCGATTCCCCACCCCTCGCTCCCTTACCTTAGTCGACAGCTGTCGCGCGCTTCAGCCACTTCAGTAGTCGCTTCTAGCTTCTCGTGGCGGCGTTTGTGGCTGTGGCGTGTGGCCCGTGTGCGGCGACACTATGTGCGTTCTGTCGTCTATACCACAACGTGTGTTCTGAGGGGTTCCTATCAAGGGATATAAGGATATCACGGGATATCAAGTGATATAAGGATATCACCTTCCCCTTTCTTTCAGAGGACCACGCGCGCTGGCCTTCTTTGTCACTGACTTACTGTGGCGAACAAAGAAATGTGCTGACTCATTTCTTTGTCGCTCGATCCGCGAATCGAATGCCATGCCCGCTCACTTGTTCCCTCCGTTCTACAACCGAGAATACTTTGAAAGAGGCGTGAAGAAGCATTTGCAGGCCGTCAAGATGAGGATAGCTGGTGTGACTTTAAAGTCACTTAACATCAGGTGGGGTGAAGTCATTTGTGGGATTCATCTAAATTTATTTCTTGTAATTCGGAAAGCATTTCCGTCGAAAAACTTCTATAATTCGCAGGTAAACGTAAGCAAGCGGACGGGGGGCGGTACGGTGGGCACTAGGTCTAGGCTACTCAGCCCTTAAGCGCGGGCCTACCTGCGCACGTCTGCGGGGTCCCCGCAATACCTCGAGAGACCCCTGCCGTGGAGCCCTGGTGAGGCCGGGAAGCTGCTGGATGCGGGGATGCGGAGAAATACCTCACCAGGGGATCCCGCGGCTCCGCATCAAGCAGTGTTGAAGGTATTCGCAGGACTTTTTTAGCGGATATTATGCCGTAAAGCGCCCGTAAGAGTTGCGAGGTCCTCAGTGGGCAGCCACTGGGGGGTCCGTAAGACTTGCGGAAGCCAGGTGTGAAGTCCGTTCGGCGGTGTGCCTCTTAAAGGCGCCGTTGTCTGTAAACAGCATATTTTACCTGCGTAATAAAAAAAGGTGAACTTAAGCAAGGTACTGACACGTTCTAGATTTCCTCTCACTCCCAGTCGAGGGTGGAACACTCGGGTGTTTTGAAAGCGGGGGTGGGAAAGAAGGGTGGGAAGTCAAAATGTACACTCCTCTATTGAATAAATATAATAAACGGCGTTACTTAATTACAACGTTCTTAATTAATTTCAACGTTGTTTAAAAGGCTGAGCTCGCGATTATTCGTTAAATGACCAGAGGTAGGTTAATTAATTTGTCTCCAGGACCCATATTGCATATTAATTAATTAATGTTGCCATGTTACGCGACGTTTTAATTGAAAGCGATTAGTGAGGACTAATCAAATAAAGGCTACCGAGTCACCTTCATTAATTATAACGCATACTCATTGTTTTGAACACATCAAAATCTATCATTTAAAAATCTAAAGTACCAGACATGTTCACTTTTATTTTATTTAATACTAGCGGCCCGCCTTCGCTTCGCTTCGGCGTAGAGCTGAAGTGTAGACTACAGTTTTTGTTCTCAGGATTGTATTATACACAATGACATTCATCTATGATTCTTCTTATACCTGCATACAAATCTCAGCCCGATCGGTTTAATATTGACAAAATTTCATACAAACTTTCATTCCCTATTTGATCCCCTTGGGGGTAGAATTGATCAAAATCCTTTCTTAGCGGATGCCTACGTCATAACATCTACTTTCATGCCAAATTTCAGCCCGATCCGTCCAGTGGTTTGGGCTGTGCGTTGATAGATCACTTTGTGAATCAGTCTTCTTTGAGTTTTATATATATAAATGTTCTCGATTATTTACAGGGGCGTATTTTTAAATCTAGCGCCCCAGCCCCGATTAGAATTAGTAAATCAAAACAAAATATAGATCAGTAACGTATGCCTTTACATGCCTTTTGCCACCCCTCGCAACCTTCGCGTAAATACGCCTCTGTTCAACTTCCGACGGTAGAATTCGACCGCGTTTAGAGTTTTACCAGATGCAAAAATCAAAAGTGCGGAGAAAAGACTTGATTTCCATTGAAAAATCCTGAGATTTTTTAGTTTGAGAATTTTCTCTCAAACGTACTTAACAATTTAAAAAAGTCGTAATGTTATCGTTTATA